CAGTTGTTACTTTTATTATTTAACTAGCGAACCCGACGAACTCCGTTTCGCCACCAGATGGTTTCGTGAGATAGATGAAGAAATTTTTTGTTTGTTTTATATTTGAAAAGGAAAAATTTGATTTTATTATAAAACAGTAACGAATTTATTTCGATTACAAAATTGATGTGATTTTTAGTTGAACTTCTCTAAATAAATGAAAGTGAATCCGCAAATTATCCGTTCATCAAAGTGCTCTTTGGTAAACCACATTTTTTGTTTTTTGGTCTGAATTGCAATCGTTTGAAGTCAAACGAAAGACCAGTCAGAATCATTGGTATGTCACCAAATCGCCAGCAATTTTTGATTGAATGGTGAAATTCAGTGCGTGGACATCATATTTCTTGGCGGCAAGAATTGCTCGTTGACTTAACCAAGCATAATTCTGATAATTCTCACTAATGTCATTACTCGAATTTTTAATTACGGTGCGTGAAGTTCCAGCAATTTGCATTAGGGCACGATGCCATGCACCATTAATTTTCTCAGCTATAAACCTTGCGGAGCCCGAGGCCTTTCCAAAGAATGCAAAATTGTCGAAATCGGTTTGTGCGACTTATTTTTATATATATATATATATATATATATATATATATATATATATATATAGATGTAAGGGCCTTTAGTTTTAAAATTTTCTACATTTAGCAGACACAATTTATAACAAATCCGAATATGTTTAAATATGAGTTTTTATTTTAAAAATTTATTTGCATTTTAGAAAATACTTTTCACCAGGAAATACCAGTTGAATTTCTTTACTTATAAGTAAAGCTTGCAACTTGAGGAGCAAAGTTGCATAAGTTAAACTTTTTAATGAAAGCAGTTGCAACATCAAGTGGGACTTCTTGTAATATAATTCTCTTGTAATATAACTCTAAAGAATCTTCAGTCGAAAACTGTCATTTCGATACAAATGAAGAATTGTTTCCTGTCTAATGCTTAATATGGTAAATTTTGCTTCAACATATAGGTCGAAAATTGCTAGAAACGCAAACTCCTAATTATTTACGCAAATATATGATTCTGTGCTTGGTAATTTGTTATAATTGACCATTTAATATAGTTCTACGTACGTGCACGTGTTTAGGTGTGTTTGTGCCCTTGCATTCTCGTAATTTTTCTCAAACATCGCTAAAGATTTTCTGATGGTATTTATAGATGATCTGAAAATAAACAATTAACAATAATTTGTGCGCCGGTAACGTATTTACAATCAGTATACAAATACATTTTAGTTTGTAATGCAAACATAAATAAATTCATTAACAAATGAAACGTTTGCATTTTTATTACAAATTGGAAACAAGCTGAAGTTTGTTTTATTTGATTACTATTTATGTACATAATGTAAATTTGATTACTAAATTACTCTTATTTTATTTGTTTCACTAATGATTTTCATTATTTATATAATGCTATTTTGTTTATGAATTTTAGGCTTCTTCGTATAAATCGGATAATGTATAAAAATTGAGTGAACTTTTGTCTTACATTTTCCAATTTTATGCTTTATTTGTATTAAAAATACTACTTTATTTTGAATAATTTTCTTGATTTATTTTATTACTATTTATGTACATAATGTAAACTTTGATTACTAAATTATTCTTATTTTATTTAATTTACTAACGATTCCTGTTTTATTTTCATTATTTATATCATGCTATCTTATTCACAAATTTTAGGCTTTTCTGTATAAATCGAATAATGTATAAAAATTGAGTGGAACTTTGTCTTTTATATGTTCCAATTTTATGCTTTATTTGTATTAAAAATACTACTTTCTTTTGAACAATTTCCTTGATTTATTTTATTACTCTTTCTGTACATAATGTAAACTTTGAATACTAAATTATTATTATTTTATTTATTTTACTTACGTCTCTAATTTTGCTTTCATTATTTATATTGTCAAGAAATTTTGGACTCTTATTCATAAATAGGATAATGTATAAAAATTGGGTGGAACCGTGTGTTATATATTCTTCATTTGTTTAAGAAATACTAAAAAGTTATTTTGAATAACTTTCTGAATGTTTGCACTTTTTTTAGTTTGATTTTTATTATTTATATTTTCAAGAAGGTAGTTCAAAAATCTAAGGTTTTTATGCATTAATATGATTATTAAAAAAAATAGCATAAAATTGTGTCATGTATATTCAAAAATATACCTAGTACATATTTGTTAATAATAAGATGTTATTTTAAATAATTTAATTTATTAGGAAGCTTGGAGGCAGATCAATATGATGTCATTTTTTTTAAACATTACATAAATTGCGACAAATTGTCTTTTATATTCAAATATTTATTTTATTAGTTATTTTAAATTTTTCAATTTACGATCTTTTGGGATTTTTTTATTCTATTGACTTTGTAAACAAGTACATTAGCCATTTGCGTACAATTATTACACAATACTTATAATTTCAAGTTATTAGATTTAATAAAAGTATGCAAGGCATCATATATTCTTATATCTATCAACAATAATGATAAATTTGTTGGAACAGAGATTTTTAGCCTTATTATCTCCTTTCATAAATCTTTTGGGAATTGTAGAGGCAATTTATCAAAATTATGTATTTTTTAAAAATGATTTCTAATAATTGGGTCCAATTGTATCTTGTATATTCCATTACATACTTAATATAATAAAACATCATTTTGATGCATACATTTTTTGTTTTTTGAGAAATGTGGACTCAATATGATGTCTTTTTTTAAGTTTCAAATGCAAAATATAGTTTACGTTTATTTCTCATAAAAGTAGAATCAAATTCATAATACATAAGGATCGTTTTCACATTCAACTCTGGATAAAATATTTATAGTGGCGCACATATTATTAGGAATCTGGAATATTTTTCATACATGTTTTCTTTTTCTTAAAATTCGGTTCTCATATAACATTTGCGATGAAAGATTACTTATCATTTCATATGGTATGCATTTAGTTTGACGTCGTCGGCCTTCGGTCATTCCGTTATGTTTTTATCAATTGATACATAATCAAAGATTATGTAATTGTCAATTCTGTGGAAAGTAAAAATCTTTGGATTTTATTTTTTTTGTATTTTGACTTTGCGTTGATTTTCAATTTCATGTATGAAAGTAAAATATTATGTTGTTTCATTTTTTGTTCATGGTTAATGGACCAGTGGTAAGAGCTTAAGCCTTTCAACCAAATGGTTCTAGGTTCGATACTCACACCAGACAATCTGATGAATCAAACATCGGATTTCATTTGAAAATATAGATGTAAATGTTTTAAAGTAAAAATTACAGACCTTGCCCAACACTGAATTCTAATTTTTAACAAAATATTTCCAATAGGAATTGGTCAGTTGTTGGGTTGTCATATCAAAAGCCACTTAGTTAAGAAGAATATTTACCACAATAGCTCGTAGAACTGTCCAGATCTGATTGCTATTTTTAAACAAAAATTTGTTAATTTTATATATATATATAAAAATATAATAATATAATATATAAAAATAATATAATAATATAAAAATATTGATTTTTTTTTTAAATTATTCAATAATAATTATCAATGATGTGAGAGATTTCTAATGTAACTATAATCTAACAGAAGATATTTTGATCCTTACCATGTGAACTATTTTTTGCGGTTTTTTCATAACAGAGTAAGGCGATAATAACACATTTATAAATTTCTTCAGTTATTTTCTTTCTACTTCTCGTAGGGCAAGTTATAGAACCGCAAAAAAATCGAAAATGAAAATTTGTATATATCTTTACGTTTCAAAACCTTCTGAACATTTTGGCATACCTTAGAAAAAAATGGGTGTATGTGTGTGTGTGTGTATGTGCGTGTATGTGTGGTGTGCGGATATAAATTTTCGTCGACGATCTCGAGAACACGGGTGAAGCGATTTGAATAATTCAAAAAACATTCGATTCGTATTGATAAGGAGACGTGCTGAGTAATTTTTGGCGAAAGCAGGTCTAGCCGTTCCGAAGATATGAGTTATTGAGTTTTGATTGCTGTTTTTAAACAAAAACTTGTTAATTTTATAGTTGAATATCGATTTTTTAAAATTATTCAATTATTTAAATTATCAATGATTTCTAATGTATATACATATTTCATACCGGATGAGGTCGATTATTTTATGGCATTTCTAATCTAACTATAATCTAACTGGAGATATTTTGATCCTTACCATGTGAACTATTTTTTTTGCGGTTTTTCCATAACAGAGTAAGGCGATAAGAACGCATTTATAAATTTAGAAGTTATATTTTGAGTTTCAAACAATTTACACTGAAGATCACGTGAAACTTCTAGGTTCTCTTGGACAATTATCATTATTACATCTGGAAAGTATTCAAAGATATTGAAATGAATTTTTTACTACGTTTTGACCTTCTACTGAATGATCTTCAAGAATATTTATTCTTGCTAATCTATTGCATTAAAAGACCATTAGCATCTCGTTGTAAATATTAAAATTTGAGCTACTGCATTATTCAACCCTGACTCTGTTCTCTTACCTTGAAATTGGCACGCAGAATGCGGAATAGGTGTTAAAAATGGTTTCGCTCTCGAGACACTTTCTCTATGAGAAAGTAAAATGAACGGAGTGAGAAGTCACTCCATTAGTAAAATCGTACCGTTAAATATTACGTTTAATGATTTCAACAAATTAATCCACTAATTAATTTTTAATTACTTCTTGGGAATTAGTAATATATTCATATGTGCTTTCGACCATCAATTTATTAATATATATTTTCTTATCTGTTACACCCACCGCTTTATTCATGTCAATTTTCAATCCCTTATTCAAAGAGCTTATAAATATTTAACGTAACTGTTACAAACTAATTGTTTTAACTATTTGAATTTTATGATCACCTTTCAACAGGTATTTTAATCGTAGGTTTAATTATAATAATATAAGAAGATAATAATAGAAATTTGTTTACAGGTGGATTATGAACCTGAGCGTCACATGAACACCATTGTCGAGTAAGTTTTCATCTAACACTTTTCTATAAATATATTATATTTTCTGTCAACACTTATCAAAGATGCTTAGATAAATTTAATTCATAAAATATTATGCATATTGTGATATGTTTATATTATAAAAGATTTAATCATATATTTTTCTGACTCATATGCAAAATTGATCTGTGTAGAATTAAGAAAACATGGTGATCTGTTGATGAAGCAGCTTCTTTCGTTGTCAAAATATCAAGTTTTATTTCTCATTAATTATATTAACAAATCATAAACTCTTGCCAACATTTTTGTGTGTTTCTTTGTAACCTAAGTAAACCTAAGTAAATTTTGTTTCATTTTGCATTCTTATAATGCTTTTTAATCAATCTAATGAAAAATATTCGAAGAGGATTTTTCTAATTTATTTGTTTTTCAATGTTTTACTTTAATAATTATATCGCTTTGTAGCTTTTAGAATAAACTTTTAGCTTTTAACTAACCATTTTATCTAATTCTGACAGTGGATTAACAGAATTCAAACTCATCATAGATTGTTTTTAAAATTATAAATTATTGTGTAAAACCTTCTGCATTCGCAAGATGCCTTTAATATTATACATATATGTGCCATCTTTGTAAAATAAACTAATAAAATAATGGATTAGGATTTGATTAGATACTTCCTTGACAAGTACAGGGTGGCTGATATGTAATGCAACAAAGTAAAGCGCTATAACTTTGTCATTTTCATTTTAAATTTCATTGTTCAAAAGCAAAAATATCGGAGATGACATCAATTTTTAGAATCAGTTGAGATTTGTTCAAATTGTTACCTTTGGCCATAACCATAAAACGCTGCAGGAAAGTGGCTCTGGGTTATTTTGGCGAGGCGCTTTCTTGGGATAATCGACACTTTGGTATTTTTTAGTGCGAACCTTACTTTCCAAAATGTCCAAGGCACAAAAGTCCAACGAATTTAGATCCAGAGATTTTGGTGGCTATTGAACGTTGGAAATGATGCAAAAAACCTCTTTTTTAAGCCATTTTCGGTAGCCGCGTGCTGTGTTTGATGGTGCTGAGTCCTGTTGGATTGTCCGTGGTCTGCGGCCGAAATTATTGTCTTCCCAGGACTTCAATACTGCCTTTTAGGCATTTTCCCGATAATTTCGACAATTATTTTGATCCCACGGTCGATGAATAAGAGCGGAATGTCACCATCGGCCGTTACGGTGGTTCACACCTTTACCTTTGGCGGCGCTTGACTTCTGGTGACCAATCGAAGGTGTAAATTTTTAGCTGACCTTTTTCGTGCAAGCGAAGCAACCCCTTGGCTCCTTCCCGTCTAACTTTTTGTTTGTGCATGGATGAGCTCTTGCACTTTTTGGAACTTCAATGGCTTTAGTCCAAGCTTATTTTTCAATATGTGTTGCATTCGTTTTTGCGATATGTTCAGCTCATGAGCCATTTTTTTACCACTGCGACACGAATTTCGATCGATTTTTGGCTAAACTTTTTGGATCATTTCAGGGCTCTGAAGATAGCCACTTAAGGTTTTCCAGCCAAATATGAAGCAATCGCCTATCACGCTTGACTTCCATCACGAATAACTTTTTTTTCTGAATGCAATAGATCAAAATGCTTTTGTACGCTTGTAAAAAACCAAATGAACAATCCCTGGAATAAATCTGTCATCTGTCTGATGAGCGGTTTAGAAATGATAGCGTTCTGAAATTGGTTGCAATACATATCAGCCACCCTGTATTTTTTCAACTTGAGGTGAGGAATTTCTTTAAGAAGATTTTATAATAAAAATCGTTACTTTGTGCCGAACATTTTAAATATGTGAAAAATTAACACTTATTTATCATTTTTTCAAAATTGAATTTATTCTTGATTGTAAATTGCTGTCAGAGTTAACAACTTCCTACTAACCTGTGCATTGCATCTGTGTTGTCCGTTCGTTGTCATCATTGTCTGTCCGTTTGTCCGCTTGGCAATTGCAGCGGCGACGATCAGTCGTATTGCAGGCAACCATATCACCATCACCAACATGATCACCATCAACTTAAAAAGCAATCCAATTTCGCCCGCAGGGCTGAAGGCTCGGAGACCATTCAGTTGTCAGAGGACAATGTCAACCCAGGTAAGAATCGACTCAGCCCGGCTGATTTTGAACTCAGGAAGGTTCTTGGAAAGGGTGGATACGGTAAAGTCTTCCAGGTGAGTTAAATCATTTGTAGGCAGCTTTGTTTTATAGAATAAATAAAATTTACGAACATGATACTTTTTATTTAAAAGGTTCGCAAAACTACAGGCGCTGATATGGACTCACATTTTGCGATGAAAGTATTGCGCAAAGCTTCGATAGTACGAAACCAAAAGGACACAGCACATACTAGGGCTGAACGAAATATATTAGAAGCAGTGAAGGTAGTACACACTTATTGATTTTATTAATTTAATCTGTTAATTTTTTGTTTTGCAGCATCCATTTATAGTTGAATTAGTTTATGCTTTCCAAACTGGCGGGAAGTTGTATCTTATATTAGAATATTTGAGTGGTGGTGAACTATTTATGCATCTAGAAAGGGAAGGAATATTTTTAGAAGATACTACATGGTTAGTCTAATGTTAGTAAAATGAAAATTGGGGAGATTTTGCATCTATAAGATTTTGTTTTATTCCAGTTTTTATTTATCAGAAATAATATTAGCGTTAGAACATTTGCATTCACTGGGGATAATCTATAGAGATTTGAAACCCGAGAATGTACTATTGGATGCACAAGGCCACGTAAAATTGACTGATTTTGGTCTCTGCAAAGAACACATTCAGGAAGGCATCGTAACACATACGTTTTGCGGAACCATTGAGTACATGTAAGCAGTTCTATATAATGGTACAGTATCTTAACAAAAGATGAACAACAACTAGGAAAAGAAGTTTTTCTACATTTTCTTATTAAAATTTGTTTTGTTTATTTAAAAAAGAAAAACAAATGTTTTGCTTAATTTTGATTATTTGCATTGTATCTATAGATATAATCAAAATATGATATTAAATACATATTATATGACATCATAGGGCCCCGGAAATTTTGACAAGGAGTGGACATGGGAAAGCTGTTGATTGGTGGTCACTCGGTGCTTTAATGTTTGATATGTTGACTGGCCAGGTACAAGATAATTTGAATTTTATATTTTTTTTAATTAAAATAATGTTGTTAAATGAAACATTTCTAACCTTTAGCCTCCATTCACCGGTGTTAACCGGAAACAAACTATAGAAACTATATTAAAAGGGAAGCTAAGCCTTCCTGCTTATCTTACAGTTGATGCCAGAGATTTAATTAGAAGACTCATGAAAAGACAAGTAAGTAATAAAATTAGGATTGTAATTATTCTATGAATGCTTAATATTCACTCTTCAATTAAATTACAGGTTTCACAAAGATTAGGATCTGGACCTGAAGATGCAGAAGCAATTAGATCACATGATTTTTTTAAGCATGTGAATTGGGAGGATGTGTTAGCTAGAAAATTAGAACCTCCTATAAAACCAATATTGGTAAGAAACATTGCAGTTTTTGAAGAAAGCTTGTAGAAGTATATTTAATATGTAGTTCTTTTATTTCAGAGTGGAGAAGATGATGTATCTCAATTTGACACCAGGTTCACAAAACAAACTCCAATAGACTCACCTGATGAATCCACACTTAGTGAAAGTGCAAATTTAATATTTCAAGTAAATAGTTGCCAATCTTGTTTTTAATTATTGCATGTTTTTCTTTTTTTTTCTTTTTTATAATAGTTAGTTTTCCTTTATAGCATTTTTAAATTGACATGATTTTTATTGGTATGCTACATATATTGTACATCATTTCTTTAATGAGTATTGGTGATTGTTTACTCTATTAGGGTTTTACATATGTCGCCCCATCTGTCTTGGAAGAGATGCATCAACCTCGAATAGTACAAGCTCGAACTTCTCCACGTCGTGGGCCAGCCCCTTATCTTGGTCGAAGTCAATTTTTGGCTAGACAACATCATCAGCATCAACATAATCACCATGGTCCTGCTCAACTTCATCATCAACTAGTGGCTGGAAGCGCTCAGGACGAACGCATGGATGAGGAACCTATTGCACTGTGAAATAGACGAGTCATGGAGTCGACGACCTGAGTGTCCAAGGTAAAAAGGGTAGAGTTTATTTAAATAATACTAATTGCTTTAATTATACTCGTTGTGCAACTGTATATCTGATGCTGATGGCAAATCAAAAATACACCCATAAATAATTATCTTTACCAGTTACTTTATGAAACTGCTAATTCAAAATTACATAGGTTGCATTAATTGCAGAGAAATTATAGGATTCACCTAGATATATGGTTTCTGCTAAGATTATTTGCTGGCCATCCAAAGATTAGATATTACTTTCAACACGGTTTTTCGGCTGACATTTGTTTTCTTTGTTTCAGGTAGATAAGTTAGATAATTGACATGGATAGACAATTCAAAATTCAACACCACTAGTGAATAATTTATAAGCGCAAATAAGTCATGAATTAATATAATTTATATAAATATATATTCGCATACTATGAAATCTATTACCAATAGCTTTTGGAAAAACTGTATTCATCAACAGGATTGAATCACAGTGACAATAATATTAGGAATTGCGGCTTTTTTATATTGCATTTTTTGTTTATTCAGACTGTGATTTATTTTAAATGGTTAATGGCACAAGGGTTTCTTCATTTTTATTGACGTTGAAGTGGATTTGTAGAAACGGTTTTGTAAGAAAAGCATCAAGGTTTAGAAACATGATTTGTTTGAAACTACTTGAATTTCTTTGGATGATAGTGATGATGGTTGACTATTTAGATTTAATTATGAAGAATGGTTTGATTTATTGTTATTTATGTTAACAAAAATATCTAGTTATACAAGTGGATAGATCGCAATACTTTTGTTATTTTTAATATTATAATCTAATTTAAAGTAGTAAATTTGTTCTAGTTTAGAACATGTGTTGAAGCTGTTTGTTTTTTTGTTTTGTTGTTGTTATACATTTTTGTGTCTCATGTGTTATTCACTTAAATATTTAATTTTTATATTTTTTTCAAATTCAATTAATGCTCCGATTAAATTTATAAATTCTGATTGAAGTTTTCACGTACTTAATATTTCCAATAATTTAATTCTAACAAATAATAATGCATAGTAATGGTGCTGTAAGATTTCATAGTATGCTTTAAGTGAAACTATAAAATACTAAAAAATATTTATAAGTTTATAAATTTAATTTTTTCATAATGTAAGTAATAATATGGAAAATGTTTTGTAAAAAAAGTATGCAGTGATATTGTACTTGAATCAATATTCTCAAAATTCTAACTATGGATATTTATCAAATGATATTTTTAAAAGTCAAGTTTATAGATTTAGTAAACTCTTGACTAAAAATGTTAATAATTGCTAAAAGTAATCGATATTTTTCTTATGAAACTGTGTGGTATTTCCGTTTGTGAGCGACTTCTTAAGTTTACTGAACAAGAGTCTTGCATAGAAAAATGCCTTCGCTGTTTGTAATAATAATATTTCGCAGGTATATCATAATAAATATATACAAATCGCGTTATTACTATACATATTTTATGTAGATCTTTTCTTATGATGTGAATAGTTGAAATTTTTAATGTGTTGTATTTTCTCAGGGATAAATTTAATTGCGATATACAAAATATATTCTAAATCAAACATTTTAGAATTAGCTTTTCAAGAATTGATAAAGCTCGCAAGCTGAAACTCCACAGAAATTGTAGTTGGAGTTAATTACTGATAAACGACGATTATAATCGAATTTATAATACTTGATCACTGACTTAAGTCGATTATGCAAAAGACGTTGAGTAAAAAACTTATTTTGAAGTTGAATTGGTTATATGTTTTATTGATATGTATTTGGTGAATTACGAATTACGAATCAGTTATGCATATATCCAGTTTACGGTTGTTTTTATTTATATGGGCTATTGTTTTTGAAAACTACTTTTTAATGGCCTGTTACGTTAATAGCATCTTGGATTTTAGATTTTTTTTGACCTCTTATTAAATTATTTAGATTTTTTGAGGAAACAAAATTCTAATATTGAAATCTTAAATTGATGATTATATGTAGTTAATACCTATTCATCATAATATTGATTTTGAAGAAAGTTACCTTATTATAAAGTCAAGTCTCTAACATAAGAACAATGTCACTAGAAAAGTACTTTTTACTCTAATCATTACAAATATTGTACATATGTAAAAATCAAGCTTGCACATAAATGTTTTATAATGAAATTTATTCAGACTTCCGATTGATTCATAAACTTGTGATAACCGTTTTTTATAAGCAAATGATATTTAACAGAATTTTCGAATTAATAGAAAATAATTGACAATTTTTTATGGCAGAACACACAGTTTTCTGCTAACCACAGTAATTTCAATTTTGAAATAAATATATATTTTTATAAAAGGATTTTATCATGTTTGCATGTGTATTTTTTGTAGAGTATGAAATATTTGTATTCGAGATGAAGAATTATGTAGAATCTTGGTCGATATAATGTTAAAGTTCAACTTCAAATTCTTGCCATATTTATCAGTTTTCGATTCAATACTATATGTTGTTTAAATAGCACCAAGTGATAAAATATATACGCTGATTATGAAAAAATAATAATTTATTGCTGTTCATTCGGCCAAGATTTTATCAATACGCTTCTAGACGTATTTGAGTTGGTAGTGTTGAATATAATTTTTGAACGAAAAATAGACAAAACTCGACTGCCAATTGCAATGTCTTACGAAATAGCTCAATTATTATTTTATATTTATATATTGTTATATTATATCTTTTAATGTTTATCAGTCCTTAAGCCGATATTAATTATTGGTAGCTAGTTCAGAAATAATTTGCTTTAATTTATAACTTAGGAAAACATATAATAAAAATATATGTGTATATAATATACTTTAAAGATAAAGAATACTATTTATATATTATAACCTATATATGCACAGTATATTTCGTACATATGTAAATTAATTTGTGCATAGTGTATATAAATGTCATTAATTCGGTGACTTTATGGTGCAGACTATTTAATCTTTAGACACCATGGATAATAAAACATAAGTCAATCATCTGGTTGATTCATTTATATGATTAGACTCGAAAATAACTATTCTTGGTTATCTACGAACTAAATAGTCTACACCCTATAACAATCACAGAAGTGAAAGCGAGCGATGAAGGCTTTTTTAATATTTAATTGAATTCAGGAATTATTTTTAAGATTTGTTTGATAAGTGTCAATGTATAAAAAACAATATCAATCATTATCATTTGTGAAATAATTGGTAATTAATCAATATTAAAGAAGCCGATTCCACCATAAATATATAGAGTTAATAATCATTTGATTGAAAATAACGGGTTACAAACGTTCTTGTTAAGACTTTGATTTTGTTTTTGACAAAACTTGATTATATTTTGAAAATAATATGCGGCTAAATATTTATTTTGATATTACATTAATTTGTCTGTATTTTGGATGTGCGCTAAAATATTATTTAGGAAATACTCTTATTAAATTTGTTATCATTATACTACTAATTTAATTATTATCTTATTATTATTAAGTTTGAAACTTTTTTGAAATTAAATTAATTAACAAATGATAAATAAACTCCCAGTAGAAGTTTATTCTATTTAAATGAAGTCATAATGCCAAAATTGCATTAAAATTCTACACGTAAAATTGTGGGTGTGAGATATTGAATTTTCATACATGTTTTTATTTAGTCAGTAATGATGATTGTACATTTAATAAATAATATAGTTATATATAAATTATTCGAAATTATTTGATTTACAGATTTTAAGAGCATTTATGAATCAGATGTGTTAAAAAAAACGAACATTCTCCATTGTATACATTTATTTCTCATTTTAAATAAATTTAGGAGTTACATTATCTAAAATTAAACTCACGAATCTTGACTATATTTACATACTTTGAAATTCGTTACACATTATATATTTTGATATGTTTTTTGATTCATCACATGTGGTTGATCCTATACCTTTCGTGGTTGTAGGTTTTTTTTAGTATTAATCATTTTCTTAGATTAATGCACAGTACATTTTTGGAATCTATATTAAAATTAATTTAAACAGAATTTATTCAAATAAAAAAAAATGAAGCAGAAATTTTCACATTAAAATAATTCCATGGTCGTAACAAGCAGAAATGTTTCGCTTACAAAATTAAGTTATAAGATAAAAACTATTTATAAGATAATAATAAACTATTGAAATTTAGTTTCAACTAAATCTATAATATACAGCAAAATTTCTGCGATTAGCTTAAATTAATAGGTATATGCGCGTTTCATATTCTTAGTAATAAGTATATACATTTGTAGTGATGTGCACTATTATATTCTCATTATATAAATTGTTATTTGAAATTATAATTCCGAAATGTATCTCGATGTTTACGCAATTAAAACATAAATTTCTTAAAATATAATTTATATAAGTAACCGAAATATTTTGGTAAATTATGTACCGATAGAGATATTGAAGTGTACATCACTGCTTTTTCATTTTGAACACTTAGTAATACACAAAACTTTTACAGATTCTTTTTGATATTTTCTTCACCTGTTTTAATTACATGTTTAAAATTATCAACAGATCGTGCATTTTTAACAGTGTAAACTATAGAAAAAATTTCACATTTCAAAAATCCGCAATGGTCTCAAAATTTAATTTTTCTTACTAAAATAGATGTAATTTTAATCATTTAAATTTCTACATTTAACTGGACTTTCTATGTTCTAGGTAAAGTTACAATTAAATAAATATTAGATTTATATATAGATACACATATATTAAAAATAATTACGCACTGAAGCTCATGCTCTAAGTTGGTGTAAGGAATTGAACTCCTATTAATGTAAGGAAATTACATAGCAATTTTTATTCTTTACACCATTTTTTGAACCATTATAATTCATCTCACATTTTTAAGTAGCCTTTAGTAATAATTTATTACTGAGTTTGGAAAGAAGTATCGCATTAAGACATAACAGCAGTAACTTATGGAAAAAATTATTTTTGAACAATTTTTTTTTTTTTTAATTTCTTGAATAAAGTTACTTGTTTCAACTTAAGCACACAGATTAGTAGAGAGCAAAAATGATACTTCCTATATGGTTTAAGGCTAACGCTAATTTACAGCATAAAGAGAAGAGCTTTTTGGAATAATGGACCGCGAGTTTTTATGTTAGAATAATTTTGTTTGTGTCCAAACCGGCGTGGAATGTAAAAACTTCATGAATGGCAATTATTAAAACAAATAACTATAGGAATCATTATATTATAATAAAAAACATTTGTATGAAATGATTTTTTAAAATCATTCAGAACATGTGGTAAAATATTATATGCAATTCTGAATTATTTGGAAAATTTCTTTAAGCCATGATTATCATCGTTTTTTGTTCCCAAAACTATGTTATCAGGGGATGCATTATTAAGTATTTATACTTTTATTGAATAATTGTATAACTATCTGAAATACATATATTGTATTTTAGATAAATTATCTCAGATAAATAACGATTATAATATATAGTTGGTCTGAATCACACCTATCTACCAATAGATCTATGGTATAAAGCCATTCATGAATCGAGATTTAAAATATTATGTTTTTTTAACCAATTATTTTTTACATATCACTCTTTTGAATAATTCATAATTTTTCTGCATTTGCTGAAATTGTTTTTAATTTTATAATCTTATATAATATTTCACTATATATTAGGTCGTCCAGTTGTTATTTATAATTAATACTAGTTGAAAGATAATTTATTATAAACAGTG